ATGCATATTTGTATCATCCATCTATTCCAATTTTTGCCATTAAAAACTGGGAGTTTGGTGTTCAAACTACTGTCTCCACTCATTTTAAACCTTGCACAAAATTTTCAGATCTTCATACACATTGTTTCCCAACCTATAAAATCAGATTATGTGCTGATTTTGTTCAAGATTTAAACAGAAAATCAATGAACCAAAATCAAATACACAGCTTACAATCACTCGTGTTTTCCAGGAAAAAACAGAACCAAGTGCTCTAGATACCAATTTGTTGGTGCAAGGTAATGAAGTGGGAGAAGAATGAACAAAATGACTACAAGACTATTGTTGTATTATAAAATAGAGGAGATATAATTGGGTACAATATTGATAGCCTAGTGTTGTACCCCAAAATTTTCCCTCCCATATTTCTCAAAACATTTCAAGAAAGATCCTCAAGTTGCTCAAGGAAGTCCAAGGGTTGACCAGACAAGCTCTCTCCTAAGGCAGACTACCTCAAATTAGGGTTTCATGTTGCATCAAGATACTTGAGTCCAAGGGATCCCAAATGCTCACCATTGTCCTATTATGTTCTCAAGATCATCCATATCAAGTTTCAAGCCTTGCAGAGGAAGTTTGCTCAGTCAATTGCTCAAAGGCCTGAAAATCGACTGTATTAGGGCAAAAGTCAATTGTGGCCTACATACAATCAAACTTCGAGATTTTTGGTCAACATCATAATTTTGAAGTATACTTAATCATTTGATCAAGGGTTGATCATGATTCATCAAGGATTGCTCATAATTCATCAAGAACCAAAAGTTGCTAAATTAGGGTTTTGTAGGAAAAGTCAACTCAACTTTGACCAGGCATAACTTTCTCATAATTTATGAGAAATGACCCATCCAAAGCTCATTTTGAAGAGGATTCAATGATCTACAATCCATCTTCATATCCCAAGTTTAAAATATGCACTCACAAGAAGTTATGAATTTGGACATTATAGGTCATTTTGAAAAGTCAACAAAAACACCTTTTTTGTCAAAGCTTCATACATGAACATGGAATACCAAATTGAAATGATACCAAAAGGGTTGCTTAGAGGAAATCTCAAGATTTCTAAAAAGTCCAAGAATACCTTCAAAGAGTCAAAATTGAGGAAGTTATGCATTGGTGAAGTTGACCTTTTTTGCAAAATTGTCAAAAGTCAACTATGCCTCAAATTGCAATTTTTGCTAAATGAGCCTAATCTTTTGCATTTATTCTGAGTTGGTAGCATGGTCCACGATCCCTAGCTCTTTCCACTTGTCTTTATCTTATTTTTATTATTTATTTTGATTTTTATTTGAATTAAATCAATTTAAATCAAAACAAATCATGAAAAATCAAAATCATTGAAACCTCAAGATATTGTGCATGTTTCAGGTTCTGTATCCAGCTAGCAAAAGATTGAATTCGTGCAAGGCAAAAGTGGGCACAAAAAGATTGATTTTGGCCTATTTTGGAATGAATTTCAAGTGAATCAAATCAAGATCAAAATCAATAATTGGCAAAGATTGAATGGACTTTTGTAAACCTAATTCATTCCTCAGTATATAGGGAACATTTGCAGACAAAAATCACAAGGCTGGAGAGGCGCACAAAGGCAGAACAAACTTGAAAAAATAAAAGAAAAGTGGTGATTCGATTTTGTACTTCCAGGCACTTTCAAGGCCCCCTGACCATCTCATTCACTTCCTGGGATCATAAGCAAGTTGTACCAATCAAGAACAAGGACTTTCCAACGCTAAAACTCACTGTAAGTCAGTCACGACCTTGAACTTTTCTTGAAATCAAATTGCATGATTTTGGTATCTATAGCCTGAAATACTTATATATTCTTGCTCCTTGAAACATTTGCAAGCTATCTATAACATTCAGTTGCATTTTTGTGGACTATATCAGGATTTGCCATTGTTAGGGTTTTTTGCTTCGATTTAGGATCTTTGTGTACAGGTAAAATTAGCCCTCAAGAAGGGTACCATAATGCTCAGCAGGTCCAGACGAGTTGATTCATGGCATTAGATGTCATTTATCATGCCCATGGAAGATTTTGAAATGAGCCAGGGATGTAGATACGGACATATGTCCGTAGGTAAAAGTTTTTAACTTTTACCAACGGAGAGAGGACAGGGATGACCTGCGTGGCACCATATTACTTGTCCATTTGAATTTTGGCGCTTTTTTTTCACTAACTTGCATATATTATATATTATCATTTATTATTATTCTATGTACAAATAGAACGTGCAGCGCAGTTGGTAGCCAGGTGATTGGAAAAGGCTTCAGGACCTGGGTTCGAATCCCAGGTCCCCCCATTATTTCACATTCTTTTTCTTTCAATAATCAGGCGTGTGCATAGGTGGGATGACCACCATGGTCCATCATCATCCAACTAGCCAGGTGTCCAGGAGGCCAGATCTAAAGGCTGTCATATGGTGACCATCATACATCCCAGTCAATGCAACGCATGGGATTCAGGAAGTCAACATGGACCTTTGGTTTTGGGCCAGAATTGCTAGCAACACACCCCTCCAAATTACTTTCTCAGGCCCGTTTTCTTCTTCTTTTCATTTATATTTTCTTTTATTTAATTTATTTAATTATTTTTACTAACACAAATTAATAATTCTTTTTTATCAAAAAATCATAAAAATAATGTTTTTTCACCCAATTAGATTTAGGATATTTATTTTTTATAAATTAATTAATTTAATAAGGATATTTAATTTTAGGTGACTTTAATTATTTTGTAAATAAATTAAAAACAATTAGAAAATTAGGGTTTTAGTTTAATTTAATTCTATTTTCTTTTTCTTAAAAACAATAAAATATAAAAATAGGTCATGTAAATTATTTTCTTTAATTAATTTAATTACTAATTAATTTTGTATTTAATTTAAAAATCTAATTCATTTTCTTAGAAATAATTATTAAAAAAACAACAAAAAATAATTTCTCTTTCGAATAGGTTAGTCGGGGTCAAAACCCTAGTTCTCTCTCGTTCTCGATTCATCACATTTATTTATTTTTACCATATTAATGTTACTCACAAGTTGTAATAGATTAATTAGGGTTTTTCTCCTTTTTATTTATCATTTTGACGGGTTTGTTTTTGGCTATGTAAATACCTGAAGCCTTGTAATAGCGCAGCTTTACTTTCCGCCCTTTAATTTTCGCAAAATATTAAACTGTTAGATGTATGATATTAGGGTTGCATGACAAGAATGTATGATTAACTTTAAAACAGTTAGCAAACCTTAAATGTGCAAAGATAATAATCCGAAATTGAATCACTCGCACATGCGCACTCCTAGGGTATACTCTCACTTCGGTTGCCTTCAGTAAACGTTCATTAAGTATAGGGTATTTTAGTGGTCGCTCTCTTGTCTAAACAAAGATCAAAGTCCCGTTCAGAAAAGTTGCCTCGGAATGGTGCCTCGGAATTGTTGCCTCGAATAATTGATCTAAGACATTAGGATTATTACTAAGACGTCCTAACATTGCTTTGGTGATCGTACATCCCTTTCGAATTGACCCTTAAAACTCCAACGACGATGCTACCTACTCACTAATAGTGGGATAACACTATCTAAAGAAAACAAACATAGAACAATTCTTTTTTTCGAGTAGGTAGATTAGTTCTTAAGTACTTGCTCAATCCAAACAAACTTTTTCACACTTACACTCTTTTCAAACAAAGTTTTCAAAACAACTTCGTAACACTCTTGAAGACAGAAGCAAGGGTTAAATCGAAGTAAAACAAAACTTTTCAAATACACAAACACGAAAGCAATTTTAAAAGATGAGCAAGTACCCAAGAGCCCGTAGAAAACTACGGATAGAAAGGGTGATAATACCTTCCCTTTCTATAATCTACCCCCGTACTCAAAATCTCGAAAAAGGGAATTTTTCTGTGATTTTTTCCTTTCCAGTTGGATAAAATAAAAGTCGGTGGCGACTCTTGTTTACCGCGATATTTTGCGAACACAAACGCAAAACGCAAACCGGCATTCCTAAAACAGTCTGGTTCTGGCCACCGTATCACACCTAGTATAGCATATTTATACTAAATATTGAAAATGTCAAAAGGCCCTATTAAAGAATAAGCATTGGAAATTGTCGATAATAACTAAATTATATTTCCAATAATCATTCCATCTCATTCATCAAATCCTCCATTTTTATTGTATTCGATTTGAAATGCAAGCAAAATACTTAAATAATAAAGTGAGATTTATATTCTATTACGTTCTATTCTATTTTGCTGTATTTTATTCCACTCCTCTTTATTTCATTTATCCGAACATAGTATAGAGTTGCAAAGCTTCTTTCTAGTTAGAGCATATTTTGATTGACTTCTACAAACACCAGCATCAAGAGATATAAAATTGATTCTGGATAATTTTGAGGTGTTTGGTTTATCAAAAGTAGAATGAATTATGTTTTCAAAATTGATTTTGCTTAAAATTAGAATTTGTAGTTTCAGTCTCTAAAACTGATTCTTAATATTTTTTACAGTGAAACTTATTGTTCAACTCATATTACATGATGGAAATAATTAGTTAGTCCTTTATTTAACTCTAGTTAGTTTCAGCTAATCATAGCTATAAATTAGAGTTAAATAAAGGACTAGTTAACTATTTTCATCATGTAATAACTCATTTTTACATAAATGTAATCAAACATAAATCAATTATGTTAAATTTAATTCTGTCAATTCTATTAATCTCAATTATACTATAATCAATCATGTATTCGGCTAGTTTAAGGATCAAAAGATTAATAAAAGAGATATTTTTAAATGCTTTTGCAACTTCAATACATTATTAAACGAAAATGAAATCGAGTTATAATTCTAGAGATCCAAGTGGATTACGCTCTAGAACCAAAACGATGGTTAAATTACTTGAATACAATTGTAGAGACCCAAATGGTAACATGTAACTAAGCATGTAACAATAATCTTAATCAGTGGCTTGTGATTATGATTCTTGAGGCAACAAATCTCCTATCTCTAATTGAAAAGGACTTATATCAATTTTTTCATAACCAGAAACACCTTCAAATTTCTCACTCCTTAAGTTACAAACAAAAACTCCATCAGCATAAGAATGTAAATACACAATGTCCCCATCATAAGGATGAAACCCTGCAACCCTCTTATAATAATTACCACAAAAATTTTCTGGCAATTTTTTGTTTATATCAATCCTATGCAACAAATCCCAATTATTCCTTTCAACAAGTTCCCAAATTCTTAATTCCTTTTGTCCAATTTCACCAATTCTTAACCCACCACAAGAACTTCCAAGAAAACCAAAACTCATTATATTCATTGAATCAGCTTCTAATGGATAATCAAGTGTATAGCTATGGTTTGTATAAGGATTCATCACAAAAATGTTTGTCCTCCCCATGAAATACAAGCTTCCATTATATGAAAAACTTAGTAACCAATGGGGCGCGAAAGCGAACCCGTCCGGGATATTGATAACAATGTGTTTCCATTGGCCCGTGTCCGAGGAAAAAATATATAATTCAACCTCAAACATTCTTCTTATAAATGAGTTTATGATCACGACTTTAAAGTCGCGTTCATCTGGATAAGAAGTTAGTGTTCTATCATTGGTTAAATGGCTACAAGTGAACCCCACGGCGTATAAATTTTCATTACACGTTGCGGGGGAAGGCGGTATAGAGATATATTGTTTCATTAGGGGATCATAAATATAATAGCCACTACCGTAGGTGTATCGGGTGTTACAACACAAGAATATACCGTGGGAACAGCCGCATACGCTTCCTTTGACGAGCATATCCGGTGGAAAGGTTATGGGAATTTTCATAGGATCATATTTTTGAGATTCTTCTATAAAAGCCAATATAATTTCATGAGGTGTGACAAACATTAAGATTGATTTGAAAAGAGAGTGTTGAAGAGATGTAAATTGTTTTATGAAATAAGGACTTGAAATCAACTCTAACCATCTTTTTGAAACACATTTGCATCTAATGTTGGATTTGAATGGCAAAAGAGTGAAGATTTGGGCTAATAAATCATCTGATAAATAATTTATGTCACACTTTGATAACAACTTAGCAGATGAGATATCATGAGCCATAAGAACAGCATAACACAAAATCAATACATAGAGATAAGATAGAAACTCTCACAGTGATTTAAATACATAACAATGGAGAGATGGAGAAAGTAGATGAGAGAAAAGGTAAGAGGATGAGAAACAATTGCTAAAGTTTGTTGCTATTCTTCTTCTTAGATCCCAGATGCAAATAATATGCTTTAAACCTTGGGAGGCAGTTATTCTTTTTATTAGTATTTTATTGCTTTGTTGCAATTATTGCATTAGGTCAAAGATATTTAAATTATTGCAATTATTGCATTAGGTCAAAAAATATTTAAAAAATAGTTTTAATTTTTTTTTGTCTCATAAAAAATATTTCTATATGTTTGTGTAATTAAAAGATCGATTCAGTTGATCCAGTGTGAGATCATAAAATTTAATGGATATATATCAAAAGTATAAAATAATTTTTTATTGCTTTTTAATAAAATAATAATAATTTTATAATGATTAATATTTTATAAATATATTTTTGATTTGATGGATTACGGATGTTTATTTATTTTTTTGTCGGGATATTTATTTATTGATAGTATAAAATATTTTATATCTTTGTCAGGTATGTAAGAATATGATATGTGATTCATATCTATAAAAAAATATAAACAATAAATATTTTACACTATCAATCAATAAATATTATATATTATGTTAAATTACTTTTATATTAAAATGAAAAAAACTTAGGTATAATTTTTTAGATGTTGTTCTTACTATTTTTCAATAAAAATATGATAAATGTATAATTTTCTATTACACATATGCAAATTATTTTTATTTTCAATACTTAAATGATATTTAAATATATTTGTCATATTTTTATTGAAAAATAGTAAAAACCACACCTAAAGAATTGTATCTAAGTTTTATCCTATTAAAATTATTTAAGTGATATGATTGATTGTTGATTTATTATTGAGCGACAGTGTAAAATTATTTTACAATGTCAATGAATATCCATTACACTCTATACATTAACTAAAGATATAATATTAAAAAATAACAATTGATATTTTATAATAATAATAACAAATAAAATATAATAGTAGTTAAAAAATTATGTTTTGGACTGCGCTTGCACTTGACCTAAACATCATACAAAGCCCAATCCGACTGCGCTACACGAGAAAACATGCTGACGGAGTCTGCCCTCGACTAGGTCGGGCAGTAACCTCACTTTTCTGGTCGACATAGATAACCCCATAAATGGCGAGGAGGGCCGAAGACGGTCAGAGGACCCCGCGAGCATTCTCCACTCATCTCGTCGATCAAGACAAGTCCTCCGGGGACAACCTCACAGCTGGCGGGATGGTCCACGACGGGAAGAAGGACCTCGCGAGCATCCTCCTTGTAGGGCTGACTCTCAACACCTGTGAATGTCACGGAGTCCTCTTGGTCCCGAAAATACCGCATCCATATCCTCCTGATAGTTCAGAGGAGTCAATCTAGGTTGGGGACCACGTGCTGGCCCCTATTACGTACGTAGGACCTGTCAGTCTCCGTTTTGGGCTTGCTTGCCCAGATCAACAATGGGGATCTTGGCCTAGCGCTGGGGGCTATAAATACCCTCTCATTTGAGAGGATCAGGTATTCAGTCTATCATTCTTACTCTCACACTTTCTTGCATAGCTCTGAACCTCACTTTGGCATCGGAGGGTCTTGCTGGTAACCTCCCCACTTCACATCCAACCGTTGCTCGGCTTGAAGCTTGTGGGCTTTGACAATCCCTTCTGGTCAGGTATGATCAGTGACGCCGTCTGTGGGAAACTAGCTTCCCCATTTCCATCTTAAGACTAAAGCAACTCTCCATCAAACTCTGTGATTGTCATGGTTGACCCAGTTGCGGACAACAACCAAAATGCCCATCTCGCCGACCTCAACAACAACGTTGGCAACAATAACATTGGCAACAACAACGCCGACAACGACATCGACATGGCCAATCCCGATTAGAACTACAAAGACGGACTGACTGCCTCTTCATCATCCCGCTCCCGACGGCACGAGGACGACTATCATCCTCCCCGGAACTATGAACCAAATGCTTTCCAGAAGGTCCTCATCCCCGCGGGCGTCGATGCCACGACCAGACCTCTGTTCGCGGCCATCAACCAGACAAACCACTTGATCTTCTCACATGTTGAGTGGCTAAGGATGCTCGAACAGACTCGTCAGGCCCCCAGGAGACACAGGAGACCGGACACTCTCCCTCCCTGTCAGAACGAAGACCTTCCCCAGTCTCTCCCGTGGAGACGTAGGCGGGATAGATAGATCAAGATGGCTACAACAAAACACTACACAATTATTAATCACTCGTAATTAAGTGATGTTAAAGTTCAATTAAGCTTCAAGGTTTAAAAAAATCATTATTTTACTTATTCTTACAACCTTGTTTTGAAAATTAAATATTTCCTTATTTAATTCATTTGAATATTTTGTATTTGACTTGGACATGATACTACATCATCAAATGGGTTGAATATGAGTTTAACAAAAAAGCTGAGATTTCTATAATCTTATATAATAAAAAAAATTAAGTAGAAGAAATGTATTATATGAGCATGAAAATGATAAAAAGAAGAAGAAATCTACAAATTGAACAAGTAATAATTTTGAAAGAATTAATTATAATTTACTTAGCCTTAAGCACATGATTCAACTGAAGAGGCCTTGGCAGTGCCATTGTTCTTCTCTTCCAAAGATTAATTTTATTCCTTGGCTTAAACTTCAAACAGGGTCTACCACCACCATCATCATCATCACCATTACCTCCACCAACCAAAATTAGTGCAGAAAATAGAATCAAGATCTCATCATCTTCTCCATCAGTAAAACAATCTCTCCCATCAATTTTCTCAGGCTCAATCACAGCCTTCCAATTGAAATTATGTTTGTTTCATCAGGTGGATCAGTTAAAAAATTCACAGGTGCCTCTTTCTTCACAGATACTCTGGTCCACCAAAATATATTTTAAAAAAATGAAATCCCTAAGAAGGTCATGTCGATATTTGAAGCATGCGAGCTTCCTACAATAAATTGTGTGTTCCCCAAATGTATCCAAACACGCCTTATGAAAAATACTAAAAACCTTATCAATAGGAAATAAAGGAATCATAAGGCGACATCTTATGATAGTACAGTACTCCACTGATGACATATGTTGACCTAGCCCATCAATAGGAATATAAACGAGAAAGTCTTGAGCATGTGCGACTTGCAAACAACAACAAAATATACATCTTTTTATACAAGTTAATTGTTCAAACTACTTTATTTTTTGTTCAACTGTAGAGACTAATCAGATTGTATTTCACATTACTTTAGAATTCTAATTTCCGATACGGCTCCAATAATTGACATCATCAACTTTTAGAATGGTCATACTTTATTTTTTTTGTCATCAAAACCAATAACCTCTACTAGTGGAAACGATAAGGTCAAAAAATATGAAATTGAAAACTTTGATTAGAAAATAATTTTGTTTTTATCGAAGGATGCAAATGAAGAATCCACTTATGTCATAAAAGTTGCACAAGGTGTCCTAGGGAAAGACCAAAAACCTATGTATATAAAGGATGAGGATTGAAAAGCATCTAATCTTGAAGCACAATCTTCCATTGTTATATGCCTTTAGGGGGATATTGTTTTCTTCGTTAATGAAGAAGAAACGCCAGTTGTTGCATAGTCAAAGTTATAGAGTAATTTCACGACATAAACTCTAAGAAATTATATCTATTTAAGATCCAAATTGTATACATGTAAAATAGAGGAAGGCACCTTAATAGTAGATTTTGTCAGTTAGTTTGATAGGATTTTTTTCATACTTGAAGAATATAGAAGTTAAGATTGATGAAGCGGACCAAACACTTATGTTACTGCTTTCATTATCAAAGTCCTACAAAATTATACTTCAAAAGTTGATGTTTGTAGGTGATACTCTAAACATGGATGAAACTAGAATTTCAGTTTTAATAGATGATTTTTGAAAGGTCCGTACAATTAGAATGTCTAACCATAAAAGAAAATATATGGATAAAGATCAATCATTTTTTTGGTGCCATAGGAAAGACCAATGAAACAGTACATGGCAGCGTGAAGTTTAAATCAAAATATAGTGTTCATGCAAAAAATGTGCTTTCAATGTGGTGAACTTGGATATTTTAAAGAGAATCACCCAAAAAAAAGGGTATTATTATTTAAAAAGCAGGCCAATAACAACAACTATAGAGGAAAGCACCAAGAGAAACAAAAGGATAGTTATGTCTCAAATATACTAGATTTAGCATATGCGCCTTGGGCATATGTCGAATTTTTTTTATCATTGTTAGGTGAGAAATGCAACACCCATTTTCTAAACCCAAATAAATATATCATATATCAGAGTAAATTAGCATGCATAACATACAAGGGTGTCATATGTTATTTTCCACACAATAGAAAACCAACCAACTAACACATACATGCACCTGGTCATAATCATAACACATATTTAAACTTCATGTTTTATCAAAACTATGCATATCACAGCGGAATAATTCTTTTCTCATATAATATTAATGATTATATCTCATACTATAATCAAGATCCAACAAAATAGCCAATTCATAACATAACATGTCATATGAATCCAAAAATACTGGGAACGAAGGTCACTCAATATAACATCTCAAAGTACAATTCAAATAAGAGAATATAACATAATCTCTTCACAACAAACATGAGTTCAAATACCCCCGCATTACATGACCATAACATAGACTCACTACCTAACAAACGGATAATCAAGATAAGTTCCTTGACTATCCTCGTGTAAAGCACCATTATCCTCAGAACCTGCACGATGTCACATAGAACATCATATAAAGCAGAAGGGTGAGAATTCAAATCATTATCAAAATATATATATATGTGTTGTACCCCAAAATTTGCCCTCGCGCTTTTCCACAAGAAATCTCAGCTTCAAACATTTCCTGACTTCT